CCAGAGCAAATAAGACAAGTCACACCTCTAGTCTACTTCACCTGTCATCACAATAAAATCCGACTTTGTCAATTCTTCTGCCAACACTTTCCGCTCACTGTGTCAATAGTGACCGTCGGACCTGCCGTCGAGTTAGGTAACCTCAGGGGGAGATAATTGCAATTAGCCCTTGTTATCTGTTCCTGAAGATCTGGCAGGGGGAATAACTATCTGACACCAACAAATGGTGTGCAAATCTCCAGTCAGTAAGTCTGCTTGGTCAGTCTTATCTCTGTACCTTAACACTTAACATCTGGGAAAAAGTTTTAGTGTTTGATATGACCAACGGTCCAGGAGAATTAAAGGTGTGATGTGGTCATCCTATTAAGATTAAGGATGTATCCAAATCCCTATTTGTCTGTATACTTCAAAATACATACAAATAAAAGTAGGTTGAGGAAAGTCATTCTGAAGTCACCGCGCGTATTGTCACAGTTAGAAGAAGAACGGGTTTACTACCCATGTGCCATGAAGTTGTTTCGTTTTTCAAAACTTCAAAAACCTAGTAGCAGTTAGGTGTATTAACTTATTCTGGTAAAAGCTTCTGTATAGGTTTTTGGTGACCCAAAATATGGGCACATAACCGAGGCGTTTAAAGGCTACTGGTGACTCAGGAGGGGGCATGTAGGCCGAAGGTTTAATGTTGTAGACTCACGTCAAGTCGCTAATCCCCAGTTCATCATCATACTGTGTTTCGTCCTAATAAATAGACTGATGCACGATTATAGAGATGACTCTTCCCATATTGTTGATGTTGTTGGCTGTTATCGGTGTTAGTGGTACTATGTGACTATGTCAACTGTGTTAGTTCAGCACTCTCCGGTAGGGGACCCAATTAGTCGCCAAAAGGTCGACTTGGGAACTTGTGCATATGTGGGTGAAGCGTTAATCCTACACCTCTTGACACCAACAGCTACTGTATGATAAAGCGGATGTAGTGAAGGCTCTATGGGCTCAAATTGAAAGTGCAAAAGAACAGATAGGGAATCCATTAGGGAATCCATTAGGGAATCCATACACTGAAAGATTAACCAGGGGGAAGGGGAGGGGAAGGGGTAGAGGTTATGGAAGATATTCAACACTGAAGGAGGCAGTCTGGTTTGGTCTGTTAAAAAACGAAAATAAAAATTCGATAGTTTCCAAGTATTCAAACTACTATGAGCTTTGCTTATAAATGCCATCTTTATCGTGCAGTGATGGTTCTGACTTTGTGTCTTGAGGTTCTATTAGATTTTGTTGTCAGATTACGTTTATCTGATTCTTGATGTTTATTGAATTCTTTTAACATGTCGGCGTTGATTTTCAAGGAGGTAGGTATCCGCTGTATTATCTTAGTGTGTTATCTGCTTGCCTTCCCGATAAGGAAGGTTCCTTGTCAGGACACATCTGGCGAAGAATTGCTTCTGGTGTATTCTTTCCGTTCCATCCTGTTGGTGCCATTGCAAGGTATTTGGTTGTTCTGTTTGAAATTGATTCTCTATTCTTATTGGTTGATTTCTTCTCATAAGTTTACTGAAGGTGAAACAGAGACAGACTTTTTAATGAGGCTGCAGTTGGTACTATAAGCATGTTAACCTCGTTGTGACCGAAGAAGAGAGCAAAGCACGTGTGGGAATGTCCTGAGTATAGTTTTTCTTCTTCTTTTTCTTTCATTCACCTGAAATAAGTTGTCTATATCATAAATTGTGTGTCTTTCATATGAATTTCACGGCAATTTTGAGTTCATTCAGTGATCCGTAGAGTTGACCTTCCGCTGTTGTTCTATCTGGCCAAAAGGTTTGCCTCAATGTATCAGACTCGGTGCGGTCCTGGACTACGTGTTTTGCTGTTTGAGGCGCCTTCCCACTGAGTGCAGTGATGTCAATTCTTCATTCATCATGCATTCATTTATTCCAAACAGTCTGCTTTTCAAACTTCGGCAGCGTCTAGATGTCTTCTTTGTCATGGAATCTCTCTAAGGATACCATCTTCAGAAAGTGCATCACAGTTTATGACTAGGTTTTGAATTAACTGTGGAAATACGTCTTCTAAAGTTGTGATCAGATTCCTTGGCTTTAGAACTGCAAACCGAACTGATATGCTTCCCATGTTTTTGGAGGGAGTGTCAATTTCTTGATAAAATCTGTCAACGTACTCCAGCTTTGATTTTTTCAGTTCTTCATTCAAGAGTGGTTTATCTTGAGCCTTTTCGCCAGGCTTCATTTTCTTCTTTCTGGCAACATGTTTTCTTTCTTAATCGTTATCTAACTCTTCACAAGGGTTTGTTGCAAACTGTAGTGCTGTCTCCACGGTCTTATTTCTTTTGTCTTAAAAAATTTTTTTTTTGATAACATACATCACAAAACTGATCCCAACGATCTGTGGGTATTTTTAAGTGTGGTGCACGTTTTCTAATACATTGATCAAGAAATAAAAAATAAATTAAAAAAGCATTAACAAAAATTATAGCAACAACTGCAAAAATCACATAGTGATGATAAAAGCAACCGGGTAACAAAGTGGCCGCTTTCGGGAATACGTCATTTATAGGGAGATTTTTTGTAATCGTCCGTACGTGTGATTTTTTTTTTTTTTATATATAATGGGATGATAAAGGCTGGGTACACCTCATAAAGTCTGGCCCAGAAAGAGAGTGACTCCCCTTGCTATTCATGGGTCGCTGTGCCGCAGAGCTTGGCCTAATGATCGGCCACCAACATGTAGCATTTTACTAGTTGTTGTCATCCGGCCGGCGATATCGCGTGTTCTATATTACAGGATGTTAGCGCTTTTTACTGTCCCGAAACATTCAGAACTGGCCCAACCCCATCTGCTCACCCCCTACGTACCACAAGAGAGTGCAGCTTTCGTCCCACGAGAGAATGCAGCCTCCGGCCTAAGACTACATGGAGCCTAGGTCGCACGACTGTATGCAGCGTATGTTATAGGCTACATTTAGTTGTGGGACGTAGGCTGCGGGGAGGGGGGGGGATTTGGAGTTAGGGCCAGCTCTGCATGCTTTGTGACCGTATCGCCCGCCGGTGACAAAGCGTGACAACTCCGCAATATAGGACACGCATTGCGACACGTCGATTCATGAATGGGAAGGAAAGTCACTCTCTTTCTGGGCCCGACTGTGTAAGTTGAACAAAGGCTGTATAGCCGCAAAATTCACTTTCCATTTGGGTTTGTTATATTGTAAAGCAAGCTAGTGCACATTGCGTTTGGTTTTATATCTTTGCAAAATTATTCTTACTCTAGGAAAGAACAACAAAAGCACTAAAATCTTAAAAAATTTATTGTTATTTTCCCTCAATTTCTTTGTGTTAAACATTCATTTAAGAAAGAATTAAGTAAGTAAAATGTTTAACAAAAATTACTTTCACTAGCAATTCAATTTTAGTCGCTCTCCTTACATTAATGTTGTATACATACTAGTCATATCGCAATGTGTTCTTTACTTTCAAACTTCTGTTAAATTCACTGGGATAAAATATCAGTGGGGATTGCCACACCAGCGGGTCGTATACAGCCTGCACAATCATTTAGTCCGGACCTGCCATAGTAATCGCAATTAAACGATTGGCCAAATATACGTCGGGGGTTAATAACTTAATTAATAAGTTGATAATTTTCAATGGCCCTTGACTGACGTAGTAAACAACCTTGGCGTGTGCGCACACACAACACAGTTTCCCCACAACTGTGATAAAACTCTTGCTGTTATTTTTTAAAATCATTTACGTTTGAATACGGATTCTTAAATGTATTATTTTCTTTATCCTTTTTGGGGTAAATTGAGAAGGGTCCCATTGCGGGGAAAAAGGGGTGGGCAATTAATAGACCCATTCCCCATAGGTGTTTCCTTTGAAGTCGGGGCGTATCTGCCTGAGAGGCAAGGAACTAACAGTTCTGCATACAAATAAGCCAGAGGTGCACCTAAAACTCAAGTTATAAAACAAGACTAAAATCCGGAAGTGGATGAACAACCAGAACTTTCCGCTAGAGTTAGAGCTGATGAACGCGAAGAAGAACAATGTTCAAGAAATAAAATCAGTAGGCAACAATACTTGCTGTATAGGGCTACAGGCAATTTAAACTGGTCCTAAGTTCAGAGATAATTTATATGTACCAGACGGTGTTGACAGGCAAGGACTTAACGGCAATAATGATGGCAACAAAGTTAGTGGAAGGCAAAGAGACAAACGACTAGATGGTGTAGCCATATGGATGGGAAAGGAGACACAAACGCTGACCTGATCTGTAATTCTGGTAATCGTGTGAGCTGGTGAAACATGACATCTATCGGCACGGCACATTATGATTATAAACTATAGCGTTAATAATTTTTCAATGAAGATCATCCGTTCTCTGTGAGGAAATGTAGTTCAGTAGAAGCTTGCCTGCTGTCTCGAATGTCTTTGGTTCACTTCTACATCAAGGCGGATTTCTATAATCGAGTTAGGCTGCCATGTCGGCCCAACAGAAAGGGGACCCCCGGACATCTCCCGGGAAGTAAAAGTGAACGGCGTGATATTGATATCATGGCGTGGATTTTTCAACAAGCTGTGATCAATGAAACGGTTGTCAGCCAGCCATCCGTTATAATGAACGCATTCTTCAGATATGAATATACTTTGATTCTTTCATAAAATCCAGAAGATGTACAATGCCCATACATATTTGACTCGGCTGTTATACATACTCCCATAGGCCAAGTTCTCTAAGGTAGTCAAGACTGGCCACTGTTGACCATCGAACTCGTGCCTGAGCGAAATACTAATCGGTACTATCAAATTCAGCTCAAGACCCATTCTGCTTCCGGTGACCATATTATTCGTGGTCACAGGGTAGATGACAAAACCTTCTCTATTACCTGAAACTTGGTCATCCATTTGATCGTCTGCCGCATCTTTACCAACAAAAAAACATTGTTACTGTTATTCCTATTGTTGTTATTTCCTAAGTTGTTATATCTGGCATTATGGCAACTTGTCCCAGCTATGTGGAGCTTGTTTGCCATCACCTGCACAAGAGAACCCAACATAAAGTATTATTTGAAATTTCAACGAACAACCAGAAGACGCACACAACATAAAGTATTATTAGAAATTTCAGCGAACAACCAGAAGACGCACACAACATAAAGTATTATTAGAAATTTCAACGAACAACCAGAAGACGCACACAATTTTAAATGAACGTTTCGAACAAACTCTTTATTAGCGTATAAGAATAACAACCACACACCACAAAACTGATTACAGGCAGGCAATCCTTCACGTGAAAGCAATGGAAATGAGAACAATGGGAATAAGTAGAAGAAAGGCTAGTATTTAGGATGCCTGAAGCAACTGAACTCTCAGCTATTCTTTTACAGAGTACCAACGAGCTGTGGAATTATTTACCTTGATTTTAAACTCTATTTCCCCCGTGGGGAGCTTCCTTTGAAGTCGGAGTGCATCTGCCGGAGAGACAAGGAACCAACAGTCTGCATTCAAGAGAATGAGATCTGTAAAACTGATGCACACGCAACACTCAGCTTCTGGAGCAGGACTGCAGTTCAGTAGTGGACGAGCAACCAGAACCTTCCGCCAGAGTTTACAGCTGGTGAACTCGAAGAAGGAGAAGAAACTCTATTTAAAAGTATATAAACTTACCTGAATACACAACAGACAAAACATATTGTGATAGTTTTAAAATGTATAAATTATTTTCAATAAATAATTTCACCGGATCTCAGAACACACCTGGTGTAAGAGTCTCAGGTGCGCTCAAGTTCACTGACTAAAGATATCGCAGGAGAGAAGGCAGAGTTGAAGTAGAGGAAGGAAGAATAACTTTTTATTTTACCATCCCGGGCGATGCCAGGCAATTAAATATTGCGTATTGCTTAGACTAGCACCGCAGTCCTAACTTTGGTGCTGGTTCGGTAGAGGAGGCGGTAGTTTCATCAATCAAATTTGTGTCCTGGCATAGAAATGAAACTAATTCCTTTTAGACGAGATTTCCTTATCGACTCCAACCATTTTCGTCGAATCCATCCTGTCTCTATCTTCTCAAGCATGCTCATGGAATCAGAAAGCACGCATGGGAAAAACGATGTGTCTCTAGCCACATCATTGCTTTTGTTAACGCCATCACCTCCACAGTTTTGACTACTTGTCGTCAAGGCAAAAACCCCACTATCTTCTGTTACGGTTTTCCTCAAACCAGAACCGTGAAAGCCCATTAACTTTGTACGCGTCGAACAACGGATCCGTCAGTGTAGATAATGACACCTACGTCAGCATAATTTTCCAGAATTAAGCTTTAACTTATGCATCAACCATCAACGGACCTAGTTTTCTGCAATCGCTATCCAGTTTTATGCAGATTGAAAAGGATGTAAACCAATCTGCTGGCACTCATACGAATTCCTTACCAGGTTCTACGTCCTCAGTTAAAGAAAAAGCCTGTTGAATAATGTCCTCAGCCTAACCAAGATCTTCTATAGAGTGATGTGCCAGGTCACACCTTTGCTTAGCCGTAAGCCTTGGGCGAACAAAAAGTGTGATATGTTTCGGAGTGAACTGAATATTGGAACTGTGATTTCTAAGTGTGTAGTTACATTGCTTTAATATTTACATGTCCAAAATAAGCCCTGTGAAGTGTTAAGTGTTATTAACCATGCCTGCGAAATGTTCTGTACCTGAGTGTAGGTCGAGATATCATTCTTTAAGCGGATATGTGAGTGTGTTTAAATTTCCTGCGGATGCTCAGATAAGAGAACGAATATCCGGGGTGGACAAAAAGAAAACTGATCGACAAGAAGAATACTGCGAATATACTGGATTGACAAGAAGAATACTGTGAATGGGGTATTAAAAGACACAGAAAATCTGAAGAATACTGTGAATATACTGGATTGACAAGAAGAATACTGTGAATATACTGGATTGACAAGAAGAATACTGCGAATATACTGGATTGACAAGAAGAATACTGTGAATATACTGGATTGACAAGAAGAATACTGTGAATATACTGGATCGACATTGATAGAATACTGTGAATGATATACTGTGGATGACAGGAAGATACTGTGAATATACTGTTAAAGACAAAACAAAATCTGGACATTGATAGAATGTTAATATATCTATGGATGACAGGAAGAATACTGTGAATATACTGGATTGACAAGAAGAATATGCGAATATACTGTGTGGAATGATAAATCTATGGATACTGCGAATATACTGTGACTGACAAGAAAGAATACTGCGAATATACTGACATTGACAAGAATTAATGATGATATCTATGGATGACAGGAAGAAGAATACTGGGGAATATACTGGAACATTGACATAGAAGAATACTGTGAATATACTGTGTGGGTATTAGAAAGAATACTGTGAATATACTGGATTGACAAGAAGAATACTGGATGACCAGAAGATACTGTGACTGGGGTTTACAAGAAGAATACTGTGATGATATATCTATGGATGACAGAAGAATACTGTGAATATACTGGGCGGGCAAGAAGAATATTGCGACTATTCTTAATGGACAAGAAAAATATTGCGAATATCCTGGGTGAATATCTTTAAGAAGAATATCTTCAATATACTAGATGGCCTGGTTTAGGAGCCTGTTCTACTACTAGGCGGATGGTGTAAACGTATCTAGATATAGAGGTTAGCCACGAATATATCGAATAAGTGGCCATGGACCAAAACAGGTGATGGTCATTGAGAGGAGGCGAGTAAGTCGGTGGGACAGTTAACTCAAGAAAATACCTCAAATCTCTACGACATGACCATCGGCCGGTAAGAGGTGCGATAACCCCCCCCCCCCCCCCACCGCCCCGGCCCCTCCCCCCCCCCCCACCCAGTGTTCAGATGAGCACAGAATTATTTACTCAGGTGGGAAGGAACATAATATGGGAGTTGGTATTATTTTGGATCCAAAAAAATTAACAACTGTGACAGGATTTTGGACAATATCAGATATAGTACTATTAGTAAAACTTCGCGGCAGACCGTTTGACATGAACTTATTACAGATTTATGCCCCAACAGCAGATAGTTCAGAAGAAGATATTACCGCATTTTATGATGAATTAGACATAGCTGTTGATCAATGCAAAAATTGCCTTGATTTCCATCTAGGCTGACCCAGCCTTAAGTGGGTATGTGTGAGGATTGTGTGAGGATTGTGTGAGGATTGTGTGATGATTGTGTGAGGATTGTATCAGAATTTGACCTTGTTTATATATATATATATGGAAACAAAAGCTATCAAATACAGAGGTACTGAGGAAATTGGGAATTAAAAGAGAGTTCCTAGGTGAAATAAAAAAGAGACAAGTGAAATATTTTGGCCACATTAAAAGACATAACAGTATTGCAAAGATCATCCTAGAGGGAAAGGTTCAAGGTAGGCGTGCAAAAGGCAGACAGCGTTACAAGTGGGAGGATAACATCAAGAGATGGACGAACAGCAGTATGAGTGAGTGTACATCAAGGGCAAGAGACAGGGCTTGTTGGAGATCCATTGCAGCCAACCTTCATTGTGGAGACGGCACTGATTGATATATATATATATATATATATATTAGCTATACCTGGCCATGCCTTGTCGTGGAAGTTCTGGTTAAATGGAAAAGAAAGAAAATATAAAGCGCACGTGTCTAATATGGTTAATTGTACAATGATTGTCTGCGCAGATATAGAGATAATCTGGTTTGCCGACTCTATAACATACAACAAATAATTGTGTCCTTATATTAGTGGCCGTTTAATTATTAGGACTTAAAAATAGTAATTTGTTAATCACATGCTAAAGTTCTTTGTATGTTTTAAAGAGCTCAAAGTAAAGGTTATTTCTGTACGTCTAAAAAAATAACCCCTCTCCCCCCCCCCCCCCCAAACGAAAATAGATGAGTTAACGTTATTTAAATATAGATAATTAAAAAGCAAAACTGTAAAATCTTATTTTAAGCTCTCTCAGTTAACAGTTTCTTTCATCACCCCCCCCCCCCTCCTCCCCCCAAATCCACCGACTACTCCTCTCTCCCTCTTCGAAGGATTTCAAATTCAGCACACATTTTCTTTAACTGACCTTGTCACCCGTGTCCACCCAGACTAAAATGGGTAGCAGGAATTGTAATTAGAATTAATGCGGCCAGTGTAATATGTACCACAGCATGCATCGCTTACCAGTGCTACTAATACTACAACCACCAGCACCCCAACAACTAAAAGAGAACGGTCACTACTGTCTGTTTAACCACACGTCTAGGTCGGTGTAGACAGGGGGTGTTGAGCCAAAGATGCCGCATGGCTAGTGCTGTCGCCACGGTCTGGTCAGGTTATAATGTTTAATTGTACCCCGACAGAAAAACTCAATTACCTTACTGGGAGGTCAAACACGGGTCTCCCGCACGACAGCGTTATGTTGAAACTACCCAGCCAACCACAAAAACAACGACTACTATTCTGTTACAAATACCACTGCCGCTACTATGAGCAGATTAATCTTGAGGGCAAGACTGTTGTGACTTCTCCGACATGGGCAGCAGTGATATCCAGTGTCATGCATATTGAGAAGAAGATCGTGTCGAGTGTTGTAGATATCAGAATGCATCCAGAAACCATGAGTTCTCAACCCTTTGGCTCGGTACTATGGATATCGCAACCCTTCGGCCTTGATTCCATGATAGGTACAGTAAATCTGGGATAAATGTGGCTTTTCTGCCTACCCTTGGGAGTGAACCCGGACCACAAGGAGTTCGTCACCCGGTCACCGCGATGTCAGGTTTAACCAACTACGCTAGAGAGCCGGGCAACACACTTAGTTAGGTAATCCCGTAACGAGATGAATGAAAACGACAAACACGTTTAGCTAAATCTTGCCCAAACCAGATAAGTTAAAACGACAAAACACACTCATATTTAGCTAAGTATTCCAGTAACCAGATAAGTGAAAACGACATGTCACAAGCGAATTTAGCTAAGTATTCTCGTAACTGGGTGCGAGAAAAGGACAACACAAAAATACATTTAGCTAATTACTCCTTACCAGCAGGCAGGACCTTGTCGCAGATGGCCGAAAATTCAATGCTGTTGGAGTTAGTACCCGGAAAAGGAAAGACACGTGTCTTAGGGATCTGCATGGCTTTTATTTTCGTACTGTGTACCAGAAAAGTCGGTTCCATGTCCATAAACACTGTCGTCTGACTGTGTTCTGACTCGTATTCCAAAAACGAGTTTCTGCTGCCCGCTGTAGCCGGTAATTCTGGGCGATAATGGCTAGGAGAGAAAGCTCTGCTGGGTGATATCTCCCGCATTGAATATTGTCTGTTTAATGAGGAACACCGACGTGATTTCCTCTGACTAATATGACTGCAGGTTTCGTGTATTGTTCTTAGTTCACAGGAGTTACTTGTAGACAGCCCTTGAAACTCGCGGTTAAATACACAAGGTGAGCTTGGATCCGAGTAGCAAACAGGGATACCGATGCCAGGGGATTTTCCTTTAGCGTCATTGAGATACTTATATTCTCCTGTTTTACCTGTATTCTCGTTGAACTCATTGTTTAGACTTGTATTTCTGGAACTCACCTTTCCTCTGCACGTGACTCTGTTGGATAGTTTGTATGATCGACTCAAGCAAAGGTTGGCTTTGCTGTGTTTTGGTCTTTTAGACATGCAGTGGAGTGATTTCATGGGGCAGTTTTGCTGATGCCACGGAACTACTTCCGAATCATCGCATTCCTGATTAAAGCTGCTGAGGTGGTGCTGTTCAGCTGCTCGCCGATTTCCATTTAGCGCTAAGCGAGGGTTTGTTATTGATAACGCCTTTCTTTTTTCGCCCATTTTGATCTGCTCTGCGTTTTGAGTTGAATCCTGCATGGATGATTTTCCCTCGGGGGACCTGTTAACGTTGGCATTGTGCTTGGCAGTGTCACCCATGACGTTGTTCGCGGATCCATCTACAAACGCATTCATCGTATGACGTCGGAAGGCCTGCCTGGTAGATAAGGCGTAATCACGCAGCAGCCGATCCTCAACCGGGGTGACCTCGTTAAAATAACTATTGGTCTTACGTGTAGAGCTACTGCACGAACGAGACGCTGTCCAGTTCTCCTTTGACAAAGTCAACTCAGAAGACTGTTCGTATTCCGACAAGGGTTTCTGCCTGCCAAGACTTTTGTAGCCAAACAAGTGGTGAGTGTCTTGCTTTGGATTTTCCTTTCTGCGCATCGGTTGATCAAATGGGTAGTTCGTATTCGGTTTTGGAGACGGGTCTGGCGATTTCGAGATGGTGATCTGAACGGTAGTTGTGGGACTCAGCGCTGGCGAATCTTCAGCGACAGGTTGAAGAATAGGGCCATCTGTTACCCTTGCGCCTTCAAATGTGAAGTATTTGGTTACATCGCCTGCACCATCCCAGGTATAAGGACTACTATCTGCTCGCATCGCCTGACCATGTGAAACTGCCTGTGGTGTCCCAGATGGGTTGGTCTCAGTGTCACGCAGATTTTGACCACAACTGAAATGCTTATGATGTAATAGCGAAGGGCCATTTCTACTGAAAGTAGCCGCTGATGATTTAGCTTCATGGTTTACAGCCTTTAGTCGTTGTGGAAGTGAAGACGGAAGCCTTTTCTGTTCACGCCTGTACGTAACCTGTTCAATATTTTCTTGAAACGATCGTGCATACAGCGGTTCCTCTTCATCTGGCCATACTGACACGCCCTTAAAGGGCAGCGGGGCTGCCGCATAACCAGCAGTCTCAGAAAGTTTCCTATGGTCTACAAGATCCCCTGTCGGAGCTGGAGATTTGGAATAATGCCTCTCTTTCCACACTGGACGCTTGCCTGCTGCTTCTGAGGAAAGCGAAGTTGAAGAATCCGTACTGGCTTTTACAACGAAACTCAATGCTTCTGCTACTTTTGCAGCAGCAGATATCGATTGTTTCGCACTCTTTATTGCTTCTTTTAGGGATTGTCTCATTGTTGATCTGCTGATTTCGTGTCGCTTATCTTTAGTACTCATTTTAGGATGATAATGTGGCCCACTGTGGCGCCTAGAGGTATGCGCAGTAGCGCTACGACTGCGCTTGGAAGTGTGTGGGCCTCTTTTTCGCATCAATAGATAACATTTATCATCTTTCGCGAAGAAATTCTTGCTGTTTTGATATCTTGTTGAACCGACTTCATCGTACACAGAGAAAGAATCAACAGACTCAGAAGTGTTGCTAACATTTTCATAATAAATCGTTGGCGATACCGATCCTTGCATGGCAGTTGCTGACATCCATTGTCCGTATTTAGACGAAGGATGCGTTCTGTCAGGGGATTCCCTGCGTGAATTCGCCTCCCTAGCTTGGCGATTCTTCTGCTCTGTTGACTTGTCTCCGTAACAGTGCTGAGCTGATTTCAACTCAGACTCATTGGAAGCACCAAGGTATTTCTCTCCTTTAACTGGCAGTTGGCGATGTTGTATTATGTGTGCATGTGAGACTGTTGGGTGCTTTGTTGTCTCGCAAATAAATGTATCAGGGGATTGACTTTTGTAGTATTCATACATCTCTTCTCCTTGGTAATCGGGTGAGGATTCTGATCTCCCTATCATGCGTGCAGTTTTTTTATCCTTTATTTCTTTTGTGTGATCTGTCCATGCATGTACCGATGTTTCCTGTATCTTAAACCCTGCATTAGGATTGCTGCTTTGTATACCAGCCACATGGGTTTGTACAGGTAGTGGTTCGCCTGTGACTGCGACCAGTGAATCTACACCAGGCCTAGCAACGGGCGGTTTACCGTTCTGTTTCCTACATAAGCGGTCAGGACTCTCGGATTTCAGCCGAGGTTTTTGTTCAAATTTAAATGAGTTAGTGGGCAATTCTTCAGCTGGCTGGTCTGGCTTTTTAGAAGATTCTTGTGGTCCTTGTGATTTGTTCAGTTTGGTTTTTCCTCTAGGGGGATGTGATCCATCGATAATACTCTGAACATGTTTCAGTAGAACGTTGGCTTTTCTTTTACAGATTTGCACCATCTGCAGTTGATTAAGGAGACGGCGTGATTTGGAATCCAGTGTCTCTGTGTCCGACTCATCAAACTGCACACTTTCCTGCGAGTTGCTTTTTCTGTCAGCGGTGATATCCACTGCTTTTCCTAGTTTAACACTATCTTTGGCTTCAGAGTTGTGCCCCTTTCTTGGCGATTTAGTCGGCTGAGTCCCCTTCCTTGCTATTACAGATGTACCGTCTCCTCCAACGTATGATTGTGAATCCGTGCATAAATTGGGCTCTTTTTGAGAAGTAGCTTCTAGCGCTTTTGTTTCTGGTATACATTCACCTGAAAGCCATTCATAATCTAATATCCACTTGTTTTCAACGGCGTGGCCATACTGTTGTCTGCTATCTTGAGACACGGCGTATTTTACTTTAAGAACATCTGCCGAGGCAGCAGTGAGGTGTTCTTCATTTTCTGCCTCTCGCGATGGCAGTGAATGATTCCCTAGTTTTGCTATAGGAGGTTCCCCACCTCCGCCTTCGTGTAACTGCTGCATTTTTCTTGGAACATTGGCTGCGACTGTCGGCAGCGTAGCATCACTGCATTGGCTGTGATCGGTAAGGCGAGATTCGTATTTTGGAGGTGCTCCTTCAGACGGGTTTGCTGCCTTCTCGGCAATATTTTCTATCTTCTCTTTGGGAGCATTCAGTTCTGATCTATGTTTAGTGTCAGAATACAGATTGTGTTCCGCTTGATTCATCCTGGCATATGAAGAATAACTTTTGGTGTTAGAGTTTACCAGGATTTCTGGCGCCCTTTTTGAGTTAACCGCCACCATATCATTGTACTTCCTGGCATGTGGAGTAACTGCGTAGGCGTCGGCCTGAGATATTAGATGCACTTCGCTTACAGAGCAGTCAGAAGGACAACTATCTGACATGGGTGAGTTCTTATCTGGGTGGCAAACGTTTGCAGTCTCGTGGCCGTGCTTCAGCCGGGAAACCCCAGCTCCTGTTTCGGATATATCTTTAACTAGAACATTCATATCATGTGACTCTTGCATGCTTGTACTTTTGATGGAGATTAGTTCACTACAAACGCTATCTTCTCTGTGAGACTTTAGCTCGTTCCCTTGTATGGGCAGCCTTCCAACTTTTGCATCCTCTGTTGCAGGACATAGTTTTCTGTCAGCACTCATGTTTGAAGACTTTTCACTATTCTTCCGACGCACAACCGACTCTGTTTCTTCAAAGTTATTGTGTTTGGGATTTCCGTATGTTTTTCCTCTACTGGAAGTGCTCACATCAAAACCATCTAAATGCCATTTACACGAAGACGTTGGATCTCTTTCCTTCGTGGATGTACCTGTTTCTGAAGACTGCGAGTGCTCTCTCTGTCGTTTCATGGAATTGTCCGTGGACGCACGAGCTTTCAAGTTTTGATCATGACAATCTGTTATCATTTGGTCCCTGGTATTAGCGACCCTCCTCGAATCACATGTCAAACCGTCTCCATGGTTTTCTCTTGTTCTTGGCATCAACGACAATGACCAGTTTTTACTATGGTCATTACGTCTACTTTCTGTGCTGCTTCTTGTGCCATGATAAGAAAGATCACTTTGGCAAAGGCCGTGGTTCGGTTCCAGTTGTGAATGATTCACTTCATCGTCACAGTGAGCCCTAAACATGATTGAAAAAAAAAAAAAAAAACAGCACAATCATAAAACAGAAAATATATAATATAGAAAATAGGTGTGACTGCACTCACGCTGGTAGAAAAAGTAGGTAAATCCTTCGATCTCAGGCAATAATTATTTTAACCCTGGAATTCTAAAGGTCGGTGTCTGTGGCTTAGGCGTTGCAAACGTGCTTCGTAATGCCGAGATGCCAGGTTCGATCCCAGCTGTAGGCGATTTGGCAGAAAATCACTTTGCGCTTAGATCGACAGTGACAGAAAGCAATGGTAAACTACAGGATGTAAATTTTCTTAGAAAAATCACAACAGTCAAAAACATTACGGGATTGGCTCTGTGATGTCCTGTAAAGGATACACACATTCTTCTTTTGTTGTCGTCTCACTGATACCAGGTTGTAGACCAGTGACGGGGTTTCGTCGTCTCACTGATACCAGGATGTAGACCAATGCAGTGGGACGTTGGTTTTCGCCGTCGTCTCTGAGATACCAGGTTGTAGACCAGTGACGTGGTTTTTGTCGTCTCCAAACTGATACCAGGTTGTAGACCAGTGACGTGGTTTCGTCGTCTCACTGATACCAGGTTGTAGACCAGTGACGTGGTTTCGTCGTCTCACTGATACCAGGTTGTAGACCAGTGACGTGGTTTCGTCGTCTCACTGATACCAGGTTGTAGACCAGTGACGTGGTTTCGTCGTCTCACTGATACCAGGTTGTAGACCAGTGACGTGGCATTCTGTATTTGTCTTGCGCTTCTCGGGTGGCGTGGGTGATGGATTGTTCATGTTTTTGTAGGTTTCATCTACACTTTATTCATCTCTTTGCCCGGCTCGCTAGCATAGTTGGCTAAACCGGACTACGCGGTGACCGGGTGACGAACTCCTTGTGGTCCGGGTTCACGCCCGGGGGTAGGCAGAAAAGCCTAATTTCACCAAGATTTACGGTATCTATCATGGAATCAAGGCCCAAGGGTTGCGATATCCATAATACCGAGCCTAAGGGTTAACAACCCATGGCTTTTGGATACTAAAAAAAAAACATCTTTTCATTCTTGGTCTTCCCCTCGCCTTCTTCACAGACGTTCTGCTGTAAAAAGTCTGATATGCAGTTTAGTCTGGCTGCATTCTCACTAGATAGATGAAGCATTCCATTCTTTGCCTGCCAGTATAATACAGACACATGATCTTACTCAAACTTACTCTACAATCTGTTATAAGTAACCCTGTCCCTTTCCTTGCTGTTAGTGACCTTACGGAGACATCTCATTTCACATTTTGTTATTTTCTGATCTATTCATTGTTCCTAAACACGCAGCTAAGTGTTCTAATAGAGCTGTACTGTTAAGCAATGAACATTTGAATACGAAGGGATCTAAACACAGGAGATAAGGCTACCAGTTCGGTTTGAAAGAGTTAATAAAACAACTGCTGGTCATGAAAGGAAAATAAAAATGTATTAACCGTGCACTATACAATTAACATATGTTGCGGTGTGTTGTACCTAAAGAGAATACCAATGCAAAATATTCACAGAACATAATTGTACATAATAGCATGGAGGAATATCTGTCTCAAGTATTAAGAGATAAGAAGAAGAAGGAAGAAGAAGAAGACAGAAGAAGAAGAAGAAGAAGAAGTAAGAAGAGAAGAAGAAGAAGAAGAAGAAGAAGAAGAAGGAAGAAGAGGAGAGAAGAAAGAAGAAGAGAAGAAGAAGAAGAAGAAAAGAAGAAGAAGAAGAAGAAAGAAGAGAGGAAGAAGAAGAAGAAAGAAGAAGATAGAAGAAGAGAAGAAAAGAAGAAGAAGAAGAAGAAGAAGAAGAAGAAGAAGAAGAAGGTAAGAGAAGAAGAAGAAGAAGAAAAGAAGAAGAAGAAGAAGAAGAAGAAAGAAGAAGAGAAGGAAGAAGAAGAAGAAGAAGAAGAAGAAGAAGAAGAAGAAGAGAAGAAGAAGAAGAAGAAAGAAGAAGAAGAAGAAGGAAGAAGAAAAAGAAGAAGAAAGAAGAAGAAAGAGAAGAAGAAGAAGAAGAAGAAGAAGAAGAATAGCAGAAGGAGAGAAGAAGAAGGAAGAAGAAGAAGGAAGAAGAAGAAGAAGAAGAAGAAGAAGAAGAAGAAGAAGGAAGAAGAAGACGAAGAAGAAGAGAAGAAGAAGAAGAAGAAGAAGAAAGAAGAAGAAGGAAAAAGAGAAGAAGGAAGAAGAAGAAGAAGAAAGAAGAAGAATAAGAAGAAGAAGAAGAAGAAGAAGAAGAGAAGAAGAAGAAGAAGAAGAAGGAAGAAGAAAGAAGAAAGAAGAAGAAGAGAAGAAGAAGAAGAAGAAGAAGTAAGAAGAAAGAAAGAGAAGAAAGAAACAAAGAAAGAAGAAGAAGAAAAGGAGAGAGAAGAAAGAAAGAAGAAATTTGTACTTAATGATAAGTAGAGTAAAGAGAAAAAAGCACAAGAGAGAAGAAGAGAAGACAGAAGAAGAAGAAGAAGAAGAAGAAGGAAGAAGAAGAATGAAGAAGAAGAAGAAGAAGAAGAAGAAGAAGAAGAAGAAGAAGAGAAGTAAGAAGAAGAAGAAGGACGAAGGAGAAGAAGAAGAAGATTAAGGAGAGAAGGAGGAGAGAGGTAAGGAGAAGGAGAAAGAGGAGGAACGAGAGGAGGAGGAGGAGAGGAGGGGAGGAGGAAGAAGGAGGAGAAGGAGAAGGAGAAGGAGAAGATCAAAATAAGAATGCAGAAGCATAAAGCAGGGAGCAGGAGCAGAAGCAGGAGAAAAGGAGGATGAGGAGGGAGAGGAGAAGGAGGAGGAAGTGTTTTTTTGAAGGAGTTCTGAAGGAAGAAGAAGGAGGCAAGAGGGAGCGATGGAGGAGGCGAGGACGCGGAGAATAAGGAGGAGGCAGGAAGGGGATTGAAAAGAATGACGGAAGAAGGAATATCGTAGAAGGATGGAAGAAGGAGGGGTAATGAAGGAGGGGGATGTAGGAGGAGAGTAAGGCGAGAAGAATGATGAGAAGGAGAAGCAAGATTGTAGACGGAGAAGTCGATAAAGGAGAAGTAGGATCAAGAAAAGGAGGCAAGACGAGCGAAGTAAAGGAGGCGCTAAGAGCAAGGCGAAGAAGGACCAGATCGAAGGAGGCGAAGAGAGGAGAATAGAGAGAAGTACGAGGTAGCTAAGAGAGGAGGATAAGAAAGACGAGTTATAAGGCGTGAAATGATACTAGGGGTAGAAGACAGGAGAAAAAGTAAGGAGAAGATGGAGGAGCATAAGCAGAGAAGGATTAGGAGGAGAAGGATATAGATAGAAAGGAGAGAGAGAAGGATGTAGGAGATTGCAAGGAGATGAAAGAAGAAGAAGAATATGAGAAGAAGCAAGGAGAATAAGATGAAGGAGAAGCAAGAAGAAGAAAAATGAAGAGCAGAAGCATAGTAGGAAAAGCAAGGGGAGAGAAGAGGAAGAACGGAAGCAAAAAGGAAAAGGAGAAAGAAAAAGGAGAAAGGGAATAAAAAGGAGAAAATAGAGAGGAGAAGAGAGAAGAAGAGGAGGATAGAGAAGGAGAAGGACGAAGAAGCAGAAGTAGAAAGATAAGAAGAGAGGAGAAGGGGAGAAAGGAGAAGGAGAAGAAGAAGAAGGAGAGAAGAAATGAGGAATGCAAGAAAAGGGAAGAAGAAGGAGCAGGAGGAGAAGAAGTAATATGAAGAGGAAGAGAGAAGAAGAATTGAATGAAGAAGAAGAAAGAGAAGGGAGAAGAAGAAGCAGTGAAGAAGAAGTAGAAGGAGGAGAAGAAGAAAGAAGAAGAGGAGAAGAAGAAGGAGAAGGCGGAGAAGAAAGGAGAGGAGAAAAATAGAAGGAGAAGAGGAGGATAAGAATAAGGAAATAGAGAAGACGGAAGGAGAAGAGGAGGAAGAAGTAAGAAGGAGATAGAAGAGAGGAGAAGGAGAAGCAGAGAAGGAGAAGAGGATGAGAAGAAGGAAGGAGAAAGGAGGAGGATAAGGAGAAGGAGAGGAAGAGGAAGAAGGAGGAAGGAGAAGAAGAAGAAGGAGAAGAAGGAGAAGAAGAAGAAGGAAAAGGAGAAGGAGAAGAAGGAAAGGAAAGAAAGGAGAAGAGCGGAGAAGAAAATAGCAGGAAGAAGAAGAGAAGGAGAAGAAATAAGGAGAAGTGGAAGAGAAGAAGAAGAATAAGCAGAAGAAGAAGAAGAGAAGAAGAAGAAGAATGAAGAAGAAGTAAGGAGAAGGGAAGAGAGAGAAGAAGAAGAAGAAAGAAGAAGAAGAAGAAGAAGAAAAGAAGAAGAAGAAGAAGAAAGAAGAAGAAGAAGAAGAAGAAGAGAAGAAGAAGAAGAAGAAGAAGAAGAAGAAGAAGAAGAAGAAGAAGAGAAGAAGAAGAAAGAAGAGAAAGAAGAAGAAGAAGAAAGGAAGAAGAAGAAGAAGAAAGAAGAAAGAGAGAAGAAGAAGAAGAAGAAGAAAAAGAAGAAGAAGAAGAAAGAAGAAAGAAGAAAGAAAGAAGGAAGAGAAGAAAGAAGAAAGAAGAAGAAGAAGAAGAAGAAGAAGAGAAGAAGAAGAAGAAGAAGAGAAAGAAGAAGAAGAAGAAGAAGAGAGAAGAAGAGAAGAAGAAAGAAGAAGAAGAAGAAAGAAGAAGAAGAAAGAGAGAAGAAGAAGAAGAAGAAGAAGAAGAAGAAGAAGAAGAAAGAAGAAGAAGAAGAAGAAGAAGAAGAAGAAGAAAAGAAGAAGAGAAGAAGAAGAAGAAGAAGAGAAGAAAGAAAGAAGAAGAGAAGAAGAAGAAAGAAGAAGAAGAAAGAAGAAGAAGAAGAAGAAAGAAGAAGAAGAAGAAGAAGAAGAAGAAGAGAAGAAGAGAAGAAGAAGAAGAAGAAGAGAAGAGAAAGAAGAAGAAGAAGAAGAAGAAGAGAAAAGAAAGAGAAGAAAGAAGAAGAAGAGAGAAGAAGAAGAGAAGAAGAAGAAGAGAAAGAAGAAGAAGAGAAGAAGAGAAGAAGAGAAGAAGAAAGAAGAAAAAGAGAGAAGAAGAAG